AAACTCTGTTCTCCAAAACTGGCATCTGTGCAGGGAAGCCTGACCCTGTTCTTTCAAGTTTTTGGAACCAGAGAAAACACATAAAAATGAAGCATTTTAATTGAGAGAATTAATGTGGGAATGTTCCTCTAGGAAACAAAAGTCTGGTACATGGCATCATATTCAAAGAAGGAAAACAGAACACTATTTGGGGAGAGAGGAGTCCAAAGGCTTTGACAATGTGGCTGGCCCTGGATTTTCAAGCTAGCAACCGTAACGGGACAAAATTTTCAACAGGAATTTCAGGGCGTCCCATCACATGGCTTCCATTAATGGTGCAACTCTTTCAGCCTATCTTTAAAATCATCAGACCCAAAAAAAAAAAAAAAAAAAAAGGATACAATCTTGGAATGAGTTCCCTGATGGAAGCAATCTTGAAAAACCAATTTAAGCATGTTTCTTTGGCCGTGTCATTTACATTCTCTGGAGAGAAGTGACCTGAAATACAAAAACAATACCCATCAGGATCTGTTACAGCTGCTACGGGTCCTGAGATAGGAGAACATTACAATGGACAAGAAGGGGTAGCCTCCCCAGTTCTTCTAGGTCTTTCCTTCCAAGTATTAATATTATTAGGAAACAATTAGTGACAGTGAAAGCTTACATATGAGGCTTTCCAAGTGCTGCTCAGAGTGCTTTATAGACATCAGGTCACCTCATCCCCACAACATCCCTCCACAGTACATACTTTTTTTTTTTTTAAGATTTTATTTATTTATTAGAGAGAGAGAGAGAGAGAGCGGGCGAGAGAGAGCATGAGTGGGGGGGCAGGGAGGGGCAGAGGGAAAAGGAGAGGGAGGAGAAGACTCCCTGCTGAGTGGGCAGCTCAACGCAGGGCTCGATCCCAGGACCCTGAGATCATGACCTGAGCTTTATTTTACTCTGACAGATGCAGAGACCAAGGCACAGACATGGTTAGGGCACACAGCAAGCAAAGGTCAGAGCTGCAATTCAACCCAGCTGGACACGATGGTGGAACCACCATCACCGACCTTGAATTATGAGAGCAACAAGACAGAAGTCAGGATCCCTGGCCGTAGGCTGGCTGCCCCACCAGCCCTGACCTTTTCATTGTTATTCTGAGTTTTCTGGCCCCGGCACCCAAGCCTGGTCTTGACATGCATCTTAATAAGGAATGGAAGAGCGTATGGAACAATGAGATCAACAATCGGCAACCCCCCGCCCCCAAGACTCATCACCAACAAGGCCACTGTGGAACTCTCGCATAGAGAAATGATTTCTTCTAAACCATTTCCACATATTAGATTCCCACCCCACCGATGGATGTGCTTTATACTTCTGGCATTCAATCACAAAGGGGGGCGCACCTGACTGGCTCAGCTGGTAGAGCATGCAACTCTTAATTGCAGGGTCATGAGTTCAAGCCCCACGTGTGGCACAGTTTACTTAAAATTAAAAAAAATAAATAAAAATAAAAAAGGGAGAAGTTAATCGCTTTAGAAGACAACAAACGAATTCTAGCTTGTTGTCCTCATCTTTGTTGTGCACAGAGTCATTTCTCGTCCCTGATTCTGCTTTCTGCAGCTTGGTGGCACACAATTGAGGTGATCGAAATCCCAAAAGAATCAGCAAAAAGATAAACCTCCAGGTACTTCTTAGCAGAGAACAGTCACTAATCACAACTGCAGATATTTTGGAATTGCAATCTCAAGTATTTATCTATTTTTGGATGTTATGGAATGCGCTTCATTCATTCAAGAACTATTCACTTGCCAGTTCCAAAGGGAAGGGAAATTACCATTTCCCATTTCCTGCCCTAAACCCATGCACTTAAAAGTAACTTTTTTTTTCAAGTTCCAAGAGATCCAGACAGGAAAAGATAAGGGTTATTCTTAAATTCATTTGTCAATCGTGCCTTGTAAAAAGGACGGGTGGGATTAATTTCCCTTCATAGGACTGAATCATGGGACCTGAAACCCAAAAGAAAAATAAGTCTCTGAGATCATCTAATAAAACCCCTCACTCTACCGACGAGGGACTGGAGATTCAGAAGAGAGCTGGCATTACCGTAAGCTACAGCCCACCAGCCCTGACAAGAGCCTTGTCTGCTGAAGCCCATGGTTGGACGTGGGAGACCCCGGGGACACAGAAAGGCAAGCTGTCCTGGGTGTCCACATCGCCTGTAAGCTATACAATAATCTGCACATGCCAATACAAATGCTTCAGGCTTTCCTTCCAGCTCAAGAGATCATTTAAGAGAAAACGATGTTAAGGGAGGACTTTAAAATCCTGTAGCGAAGTGGGGCGCCTGGCTGACTTGGTCAGTAGAGCACGCAACTCTTCATCTTGGGGTCGTGAGTTGAAGCCCCATGATGGGCATAGAGCTCACTCAAAAACTAAAAAATTGGGATGCCTGGGTGGCTCAGTTAAGCGGCTGCCTTCGGCCCGGGTCATGATCCCAGGGTCCTGGGATCGAGTCCCACATCGGGCTCCTTGCTCAGCAGGGAGCCTGCTTCTCCCTCTCTCTCCCTCTGCTTGTGCTCTCTCTGTCAAATAAAATAAAATCTTTAAAAAAAAAAACTAAAAAATTAACTAATTAAAATCTTGTAGCAAGGTAAATCTTACATGCCTATACTTCATTTACTCAACACAAATGTTTTAAGAACCAACTAAAAGTAGTATTCTAGGCTCTGAAGAGATAAATAATACATAAGACAGACCCTGTCCTCATGAAGTTTATATTCCAGCAGAGGGAAAAACATAATAAACAGCAAAAAGAATAAGCTAGCAAGCAAACAAATCAGGTAATATCCAGTAATAGCCAACACTGTGAAAGATATAAAAGTATTAGACTAGACAGTGACTTTGGGGGTGCAGTTTCATTAGACAGGGTGGTCCCAGAAGACTCTGGCAGAGGTGGCATTTGAGCTGAGCCCTGAATTGCAAAAAGGAGCCAGCCATATTTAGATGTGGAGGAAATGTATTCCAGGAAGAGGAAACATCAAGTGCAAAGGTCCTGAGGTAGATATTACCTCTGGTCAAAGAAGAAAAAAAGCAAGCCAATGAGGTAAGCAGGAAGGAGAGAAGCAGGCACTGCACACCAAGTCATACAGGGCTATAGCCTTGGTAAGGAGCTGGAGAGTTTTTCTAGGTGCGACAGAAACTCCCTGAAGGGTTCTGGGCAGAGGAATGGCCTAACATGACATGATTTATACTTTAGCACTTAGGCTGCTTACACGGAGAATGAATTCAGAGTGTGGAAATTAATTCAGAGATTTCAACGTAACAAAAAGCAAAGATTCTTCCTTCTATTCCCACTTATTTTTCTTTTATGGTGCTTCTTTTTTCAACCCTGAACTTCTGTGGGTATTTTAGGAGGAGGGAGGAGACCAGTGAATCTAGTTCTCTTTCCTCTGCCAAGTCTCTACCCCAGAAGCGAGAGGTCTCTTTACATAACGGCGCATATAGGGATGTCATCTTAGTACGCGCCTCAAAGGCCAGGTCAATTAAGGACACTGCTTATCCAGATGCAGCCTACATCAGCCATGGGGAAAAACCGAAGATGGGAATGCCCACAGTTGACGACAACTGCAACACGACAAACCCAAGTTCTTTCTCCCAAGATGGAAATAAAGTTACTTTATCACTTAGAGTAGACGGTCTCTCCCCACATAGGCTGGATTAAGAAATGGTAGGGAAAAACTACCACATACAGTAGTATGTACTTTCCATGAACCCAAAGGACACTGGTATCCTTCTAAACTCATAAAATAGGTATGCATGCCTCAGTTCAAATTCCTGAAGGTGAAGGGCTCAAAAATTAAATTCACCAGTCAGAACTTGATTCAACTGGAAAGAATGAGTACACATGCCACCAGATTCCTCTCTGTACATAATTTCTTTAGGCAGAATTCCACACAGTCGATTTCAAAAGCTTTCTTCATAATTATTGTTAAGAGACATCCCCCAAATCACTGACATTTTTGAGAGAAATTTGCCCTTTTCCCTCTCAGGTTCTTGGAACAAGAGAACACTACGTGCAGATGAAGATTTTCACTGAAAGAAAAAAAAATAAGAAATTATTTTCAAGAAGAACAGAAGCCTGATTTGCATTGCTTGAGGTAAAAAAAAAAAAAATAGGTATTTTGGAGAAGGAAGAGTTTCCGTGATCAAAGTGCTAATTAATAAATTTAGACAAGGACTGGAAATGAATACGAAAATAGTCTTTTATCTTGAACTTTTATAGTTTAGGTAGGAGGTTGTTAGTAATTTTTCCTTAACTGGCTCTAAAATTATTGTTTGTATCCTTAGAGAAAATTGGGAGGAAGGAAAATTATTGCAGTAGATGTAATCTCAAAGGCCTCTGGGGGTTAGACAGGTAACAAATATTCTTATGTGGTTAGGTGTACAATAATAGGAAGTAGCAGACTGTGTATTAAAAAGCATGTTAAAAAATGCTGTGGGAGGGGCGTCTGGGTGCTCTTGATTTCGGCTCAGGTCATGATCTCAGGGTCATGAGATCAAGCCCCAAGTCAGGTTCTGTGCTCAGTGGGGAGTCTGCTTGACATTCTCTCTCTCTCTCTCCCCCTCTTCCCCTCCCTCTGCCGCCCTCTCTAAAGTAAATAAATGTTTTGGGGGGAAAATGCTGTTGTAGCAGTCAGTAGAGCATGCGACTCTTGATCTTAGGGTTAGGAGTTCAAGACCCATATTGGGTGTAGAGATTACTTAAAAATAAAAAGCCACAAAAAACACCTGTTTGGGTTTAATTCTGCTTAGAGACGAGCATTTACTGCTGCTTACTTGTATGGCACACAAGTTGGCAAGTTTAAATTAAACAGGTGCACCTAGATTTCCCAAATCCTTAAAGCTGACAGAGAAGGCCTTTGCACTCAAGCTGGCCCCTGCCTACTTCTCCAGGCTCACTGCCTTCCAATCTTGAGATGCCTTAGAACATGGGAGGAGCGGTTAATAACATCACAGATGTGATGTGGTATAGGGGAGGATCTAGAGCAGCACCAACCAATAGAAATACCACGTGAGCCATGTTCAAAGAGAATAAAACAAGTGAAATTTTAATTAGCAATAATCGCGCCTAGGATAAACTTCACTGGCTACAATACTGCCCTGTGCAAAGCTTAAAACAAGTGAAATTTTACTAAAATGCCTCATTTAACCCAATTCACCCAAAATGTCATTTCAACATGCAATCAATTTTAAAAATCATCAGTGAGATACTTCATGGTCTTTTGTTTCTATTAAGTCTCTGAAATCCAGTGTATTTTTATACACACAGCACACCCTCCATTTGGACTGGCCGGATCTCAAGTGCCCCACATGACCCGTGGCCGCCATGTTGGACGGCACAGATCCAGCTTAAGAGCAAGGCTCCCACTAGCTGGCGACAGGGCTGAGGGCAAGTCCTTGGCTCTTCCCCCGTGGGCTTGCTCATCTGATACCAGATGACCCTTCCAGCCCCAAAGGTCTGTAGAGTTCTGTCTCTTTCTGAGAAAGAGCTGTATTAAATCATTTTTAAAATAACAGATACAGAGATGGATGAAAGAATTAATGAATAAGTGAACAGGCCAATTATGGGTTACGGTCGCTGATTCCATTATTTGGCTGAAAACAGGAGCAGTGGGAGCAAGCTTGTTGTGGTAACTTGTATGGATGAGAACGTTTCCTTACAGCAGCTCTAGAAACTTGAAAGGAGGGACAAGAAGTAAGAGAAGCCGCTGCTGAGAGTTCCATGTTGCCAGACAGATCGTCACCATTTATGTTACAACAGAGATTCATAATCAAGCTGTCCCATTTTAACCCCCTTAGAATTTAAAATGGATTGGCAATAAATTTAATGCACACATCACTTAAGTATCTGTTATCGATTTCTTTGACATTGTTCTTTAGCATATATAAAGTTGGTTTCTGCAATTTGCTTCTCAGGAGAGAGATGCAGGAAAAAAATGTCAGGCAGTGGAGGGATTTAAGTTGATATAAAAGGTCAGCTGAATCTAGTTGCAATATCTTTTTATTTTCCTGGATTCCAAGTACTTGCCCAAATTCTTAGCCAGGCCATTTGAAAACCTAATTTTTTTTTAGAAAACTGAGATGATCAGAAATCTGCAAAGGTGTTTCTTCTACTTTTAACACACCAAAAACAAAGTAAATCTTATAGTGAGTCTCCATAAATCCTGACTTGATAGAAACCTAATCACAACTCCAGGGCAGAACGAAACCAGTAGAACAGCTCTGACATTACCTGGTAAGACGCTGCGGTTATCCACACACATGGAGAAGATGCGCTCATACACGAGCTTTCCTGGGGAGAAAAGGACAGATGGTGTTAGCATCCCGCTCTTCAGGAGTGAACACTAAATAAACGTTTGTTAATTAGGGACAGAGCCGGCGAGGCCCAGAGCACTTTAACTTGTGATGGTATGCTGCCACCTAGTGGGACAAATTTTAAGCCGCGTTTCTTTTGTTTCTGTTTTTAATAAAGTGCGGACTTCTACTTTCTGCGAGGCAGGGAAGTCATCCTTCTCCCCTTAGAGAGGGAAACTTAGGGCCAAGGGGACCTCGGGCACCTCCATTCACTCATCAGCAAATCATCCATGTTGTGCTTCTAAGCCAGAGGCTGCAGATGGGCAGCCTGTGGGTAGAATCCAGCCAGGGATCCATTTTGTTTGGCCCACAACACAAAGGCCCACAAAGTGCTTTAACTTTTTTTTTTTTTTAATTAGTTGCCAACAGGTTAAAAACTTCGTTCATATGAAAAACCCGATTTCCTGCTTCTTCACAAATGATGTGCCAAAAATGGCCCATATCCCTACAGGATAAAAATGAGCTATGACAGGGGCACCTGGGTGGCTCAGTCAGTTAAGCGTCTGCTTTCAGCTCAGGTCGTGATCCCAGGGTCCTGGGGTGGAGCCCGCATCACACTCCCTGCTCAGTGGGGAGCCTGCTTCTCCCTCACCCTCTGCCTGCCGCTCCCCCTCCTTGTGCTCTCAAATCTTTAAAAAGTCTCTTTAAAAAAAAAAAATGAACAAGCTACAACAAATTAGTAGCTGACTCTTCAAATGGCATATATACCGCCCAGTTGATCCCAGCTTCCACCATGCTGTCTCTCAGCAACTGTCTGGGGCACTCATTTATGTGATCTGCCTGGTGCCCAGAAGCATCGAAATTTGAGATTCAACTAGCAAGTGCTACAAGGGTAGAAATTTGGGTCTGTTTTGCTCACGGATATATCCCCAGTAGTAAGATCAGTGACTGGCACACCGTGGACGCTCAGTATTTGCAAGATGCATAAACATATTTTAGGTGATGTGGGTCCTAGGTCACCGCTGCAAGGACTCAAATCTGCTACTGTAGCTCAAAAGCAATCACAGACAATGTATAAGCAAATAGATGTGGTTGGTCATGTTCCAATAACAATAATAAAACTTTACTTACAAAAGCAAGTGGGCAGGGTAGACTTGGTCCACAAACCACCCCTTAATCTAGGACTAAAAGCTTTATTTATTCTGTGTTATTTTAGAAAATACTATCAACATCAAAGGGATAAAAATTATAGTTCTATTCCTTTCCTGGAGTCTTCCAAATCACCTTTAATGTCAAAAGTATTTCCCTGAGCCCTTGCGTTATTTTTTGCCCCCATAACCCCATCATTCAGGGAAGCAAAGAAACACACAACCGGTCCTCACATGGAAAAAGAGACAGACAGGAAGTTCTAAGAACGTGAAGTCAAATGACTTCACCAAGAAATGACACCAGGCTAGGGAAAAGGGCAGGAAGCCGCCCAAGAGAAGAGGAGCCATCTGGGTGCCTCTCCCAAGGGGGGACTACTTACATTACAATCACATAAAGACACCTGTTGAAAAGGCACATTCCTGGGGCCCACCTCAGAGCTAGTGCAAAATAGTATTTTGGAGGGTGAGGACTAGGAATATGAATTTTGAATAACCTTAGCTAGGCAATTCTTGTCTACACTCAAGCATGAGGACCATGGATTTAGACAAGCACCATGGGTCTCACAGCTAAAACTTGCCTTGGGCATGGGAATCTCTAAAAACAGTGACAAGCCCCCTCTTCCCTCTAAACTAGTGGTTCCCAACCTTGGCTAAACACTTGAAGCACCCGGGGCGCCTGAAAATAGGCTGGTGTCTGTGTCTATCCCCAGAGGTTCTGACAGAAGTGATCTGGGGTCCAGCTTGACCATTGGGAGTGTTTTTAAAGCTCCCCAGGTGTGCAGCCGAGGATGAAAACCCCTGCTCTACACCATCAGTTCAATTGAGAAGCTCCCAGGAAGCCTCAGGGAATAAACCCCAGTTCTCAAAGCCACCTGCCTTTTTCCTCCTGGCCAGAAGTGCTTTCCTTACCTGCGGCCATGGGCTCCCATGGCAGCCACACCTGGGGCCATGATGGGCCTCCTCTTGAGGACCACAGAACATGGCACTGGGACTGCATATAATTTTTACCTTGGGCCATCACACAGCAAGCCATGCTGGTCACCTCTCACCTATGGTACATGGACCAGACTTAAGAGCACAAAACGCCTTTACTTGCTCCACAAAAAGGCTGCCATCCCTCTAAAACCACAATGTGTATAGTGTACCTTCATATGCTAAGGGGCTTTCAACTACAAAATCATTTTTGGCCAAACGAGTTTGGTGAGTATTTTTTTCCTTTGTTAGGTTAGTTTACAGTCTTGAGAAATAATACCTGATCCTAGATTTATTTCCTTTCCCAACTGTCTTACAAATCAAGAACACTAAAATAGATAAATAATTTTCTGAGCACTAACTTTGCGCCAGGTACTTTCAAAGTTGCTTACATGATCCTGCCTGCAAACTCTTAGAAGAGGAAAAACGTTATATGCTTCCTATGTATTCTCTTAATTCCCTCCAGAAAACCCCAGAGGCAGCATCTATTATGCCCATTTTGCAGGAGGAAACCAAGTGTTTCTTGGTCAGATGCACTCGACTCTGGAACAGGACACACAGGCGTGGGGCGTGGGGCGTGGGCCGAGAGACTCCAGAGCCCAGCTCTGTGCTCGGTGCCTCCAGTGAAATCCCCCTTGAAGTCCAGCATGCATCTTCCCATCTGCACATGCTCAGGGCCATGTCCCACATCCCTGCCCAGCAAGATGCTCCCACCTTCGGTCAATCCTGTCAACCACTAAACACCAGCCTGCCTACGGTCAAGCACCTCCCTACAGAGCACCATTAGGACAATGCACACAAGCCAGATCACAGCGCTCCGAACTTCCACCCAAGCAAGGCAGACTGCCACCCGTTTTGTGAAAGGTGAAAACATTTTGTTACGGGCAGAGCACAACAGTCTCCTTGAGCACCTGCAGATGCAGTCTGCCTCACAATCCTGAGGAATACTAATCACAACAGGTCCTGACAAGGGCAGCCTATTTTTAGGCGCCCCGGGTGCTTTAAGTGTTTAGCCACGGTTGGGGACCACTGGTTTAGAGGTAAGAGGGGGGCTTGTCACTGTTTTTAGAGATTCCCAGGCCCAAGGCAAGTTTTAGCTCCGAGACCCGTGGTGCTTGTCTAAATCCATGGTCCTCACACTTGAGTGTCGACCACTGAGATGTGGAGGAAGGAGAATGACGTCGAAGGCCGATACCTCATTTGAATGTTCGGTTTCAAAAAAGAAAAATACTCCTCTGATACGAAATTCAAAAAAGGCTGTAGAAGGTATGAGGGAAGTTTCTCTCTGGCCCATCCCCATCCACTCCACAGCCCCCGCCGGCCTCTGAGGACTCCCACTGCTACTGAATTTCTTGGACATCCTTCTAAATGTTTCTTCAGGCAAATAAAAGGGAATGTGAACAAGTATTCTAATTTCTCCTCCTCTCTTACACAAACAGAACATACTTTACAGCTGTTCTGCATTTTGATTTTTTCACGTGATGACATATATACCCCGGAGATCTCTCCACACCGGAATGCAGAGCACACCCTCACTCTTTCTTGTGGGCTTCCTATGCTCCGGGGTACAGATGGACCCTCGTTTATGTAACTGGTCCCCCAGTGATGGCCACTTGGGTTGTTTCCAGGATTCCGCTATCACAAATGGGATGAATTCCCAGAGGTGAAGATGCCAGGGTCAAATTAACACACATTTGT